TCATAGCACTAGTTTCATTTTGCAGCTAAAGAAGTTGTTTAGGGTTACAGTGAACCTTTCCTGACTCGTCTGTTTTGACTGACTGTTTGGCCACAGATAAGGATTTTAGGTAGCTGAATGATAGCGGTGTGTATCTGGCCTGAGAAATGGCCTCAGAGATTTTTCTTCCAGTGATGTAAAAAGCATAGCACAGGAAAATGTAAAAGAGTAGGAGATGTTCATTAACTTTATATTGGAAGATTTCTTTCTTCATTCCCTCCTTCAGAAGAACGTGTCTGCTGTGCTTTCTCTCTGTGATTAGTTTTTTTTATTAGGACCAAAATTGATTCTGTTAGATTATTTTCTATGCCAGATATGCAGTAATGAAATAGTTCAGGAGTGTAACACAAGATGGTAAGAAATCCATGTGAAATGTTCTTCATTTTTTTATTCCATCTGCTGCTACTATGTGGTAGATATCTTGTGGTTTTGAAATAGCACTTCTTCAGTTTTCTTATTTTTGTGGTTTTGGAAGTATTGGATCAGGTATTAAAATGTCATACCTATTAGAAAAGTGCTCTAGGAAATTTTGTGGTGGGCCCCCCTAAAAGTTAGTAGGATAATGGAAAAGCAAAATTCCTCCTATAATCTTAATTCTGCTGAAAGAAAAATCAGTAGCATATAGCTCCTTTTTTCCTTCTTGTCTCTTTCAGTTTTCATTAATGAGAGCAGTCTTAAGCACTGAAAGGCTCTGGAGACATACAAGCCGTGTTTGAGAGTGTTTGTAATCTTCAAATAAATACCAACTCAGTGAAGTAAAAATCAAGTAATCCTGAAGAGAGAGAGCTTTCAATTCGAAACTAGGCATTTGCTTACCCCTGCCTGTATGGAAGGGGAAAACCTCCTGCTCGGATGAAGTAGTCTTTGGCAGGATTTGGCCAGATGGCACTTATTCCTGTGACTATAGAAGAAGTAATGTCTTTTAAGTTTCATGATGCTTTCTGTATTCTCTCCTGTTTTCAATGAAATTTATGCATTTCATGCTTTTTGTGCTGGGAGATGTTCCAGAATGCAGACTGGCTGTCTTTCCAGCCGAGCCGGCAGGCAAGGCAGACGGAAGCAATATGCTCTAAGAAGAAGTGTGAATTTTCTCGTGTATTTCAGTGAGGGTTAATGGGAAGACTAATTAGGACACTTGAAGCCAAAATTACTGGGTTTCACTTTGAGAGAAATTATTGGAGACATCCATCAGCTGTAGTTGGATATAAGTGGCATTCCAAGTTTAAATCTGCTGAAGAGTATAGAACTGGAAGTGAGGAACAGAAGTTTAAAACTGACTCAAAATTAATTAATTTTTAATTTAATATAGAGTAGAAGAAGGAAAAATAAAAATCTACCACATATTAATAACTCTGTAATCTAATAAATGAAGGAGATCATATACTTCTAATTATTATTGGGTTTAATTTGCATTTGAAGACTGTGTATAGGTAACATTAAGTCAGTATTTTTGATTGAAAATAATGTATTAAATACTACTATGTATTTTTTCATTATTTTAACTTTTACAGATACATGTATACAGGATTCCTTACTTTTCTCTTGCAGATATGATATTTCTACGCCTAGAAATCTGCATAGCCTAACACTTTGTTCTTTTTGAATCCTAATATACTTCAGTTTTCTTTGGATATAAGAAAGCCTGGGACTGCTGCCTTTGCTGGACTGACTTTGTGCTGTGTCAGACTCAGCTTCTGGGTAAGGCACAAGACAAAGGTTAGTTTTCTTTGAGTGTTACAAAGGCAGCAACCTTTAGCTAAGGAGTATGTACAAGAAGAGATGCATTCCTTTCTACTGTGCCATTTCCATCCCTACTTTTCCTGGGAGAGTAGGAGGAGATCAGGAGTCTCTTCCTATTCTCCTGCTGTATGTTTCCCAAAAGCAGGACTCTAACCCTGCACTTTTCATCTCATAATACATAGGTTTGAGACTCCAACTCCATCAGGTCATAGACCTCTTTTGCCTTCTTGTCACTGCTTTGACGTCCTCAGATGTCTATTTCATTGCAGAGCAGGACTGAAAGCTGCAGCCCCTGGTCGACAGTGTAACAAGATGTACCCACTTTGTGGTGTCTTTTTATGCAAGTGTGTAATGAGCTATGAGGGAAGACAAGCGGGCAGAGCTGAGAGAAGCTGATACCGTACTTCGCACAGGCAAATGGGTTACATGTTGTGAGCATATCACAATTTTGGAAACTAATAGTGTTGCACTATCACAGTCTCCACTGTTGCAATATCTGTGGGCACTGATGTGCTTGGTTAAAAGACTGCAGTTCCTTCTACTTGAAATGGCTTGTGTGTTTTCTGTCTTCCTCTTTAACATGTCCCACCACCAATATCAAGACAGAGAGAATGGACAAGAAAAATGTTTCTCTCTGCAGTATGGAATTTTTAAGGAAGAAGTGCAGGGAGGAGGGAAGGTCTTTCATTTTGCCTGTCAAAAATATTACCCCACATAAATTAGTAGCATGATTAATCAGGTAACAAGCTCGTTGTATTCTACTCTCCATTTAACTTTATCATAGAATTTCCTGAGTTGGAAGGGACCCACAAGGATCCCTTGGCCCTCCTGGCCCTGTACAGGACGGTCCGTGTGTGTATTCTCTGGCCATCATCAGCTCTTAGACTGTTGGTCCACTTGATCCAGCTCTGACAGTTTTGTCAAGTCTTAAAGAGAGCAATGTTTTGTAAGTACTGTGGAATTAGGTGGCTGGGTATTCAGGTTGGGGGTAAGGATATCTTTATTTGTATACATAGAAAAAGAAGTGCTACCATTTTTAAAAAAGTTGTTGCGCCATTGGAAGCTCTCTTCTTTTTCCTGTTTGTGGGGTGGTATTTTGAGTAAAATATATGCTTTGAAAGTGTGCTCAATTAATAATCTGTTCTGGCTTTTACCAAATCGCATTAACCTAGTGTAGCCATCGAATTGGGTATGCCAGTTGTACTTGCTGAACAATTATTTTTATTTCTAAGTTGTCCCACTATGACTTCTTGGACCAGCTGACATATCTCAAAGAAGCAGGTTCTCTCTAGGTTAGGATGAGAGAAACAAGTAAAGTGTATCCATCTTGCTTTTGGCAAAAAGGACACCAAAAGAATCTTTTAATTAGAGCAACTTCATTCTGTCTATCTGCCATTAACCTAACGAGCAATATGAACTTGCTAAGGTACAGCCATGGAACTTGGCGAGAGCTGATCCTCTAATGAGAGGATTAGGTGTTTATTTCTGTTGTCCACAGACTGATGCTAAACATGTTGCTGGGTATGTGAGAGCTCTCAGCCAGTCCCCAGTAACCTCTCCTTTACCTCTGTCCTTTGCTCTCCTGTCCCCTCCTGAATAACACCTCACTGATTTCTTCATTCTTGATATTTTGGCTTGGGAAATATTTTAAAAATTAAGATACACGCAATTTCGGTGTGGTGGTGTATTTGGGTGTGTAAATACACACACACACACACACACACACACACACACACACACACACACACTCCTCCTCCCCCCACACCTGTTGAGACGGGGGAGAGAATTGGAAGTATGAAAGTGAAAAAACTCATGTGTTAAGATAAAAACAGTTTAATAATTGAAAGGAATAAAAAATTGTAAGGAAAATTACAAAGAGAGATAAATAAGAACCAGGAAAGCTGCAAATGAAAACGGTCACCACCAAACGAGTGTTGCCTGACCAGCAGCCCCCCAAACCAACTTTCCCTCTAGTTTTATTGCTAAGCATGATGCTATATGGTATGGAATATTCCTTTGGTCAGTTGGGATCAGCTGTCCCAGCTGTGTCCCCTCCTAGCTCCTTGTGCACCCTCAGCCTCCTCACTGGTGGGGTGGGATGAGAAGCAGAAAAGACCTTCACTCTGTGTAAGCACTGCTCAGCAGGAACTAAAACATCCCTAAGTTACCAACAGTGTTTACAGCACAAATCCAAAATGCAGCCGCATACCGTTTACTATGAAGGAAATTAACTCCACTCCAGCCAAACCTGGCACAAAAAGCATACTTTGAAGTCAGTGAGATCCAAAAGGGATGAATAGCTCTGTCCAAGTGACCATTGTTAAGCTGATTCCTCTCCAGCACTGCCATTTTACAAACTGCATTTTGTTAATTGTTTTGCCTTTAAAAAATGGGAAGAGGGGCAATGGAAGAAGAACCAGTCTTGGGCTCTGGAATTGTGATACCTCTGCCATTTGTGCTGTAGAAGCTACTTTGTATTATCTGGTCTGAGGGAGAAATCCAGCCTGCCCCCTTAAAGCTGGGGAAGGAACAATGCCTCCTTTGGCTCACAGCCTGAGAATTCTATGTGGAACTGCTGTTTCCACTGCTTAGTTATCATCATGGCTGGGCTTCGCAAATGAAGATTTGGGAAGGGCTCTACCCACGTTTGTTACAAGTGCGCTGGTGGCTAAAAAGGCCAATGCGAGATAGGCAGGTCTGGTTGCAAAAGGCACAGCAGAAAGACTCCTTAGGTGGTATATTCCGCAAAACACGGTTCTTTCTGCGTTGTCTTTTCTCCTCAAGGGTGATCCTGCGTGCGTTCTTAAAGGCATCAGCAGCGATATAGGTGGTGTGTCTCCAGACCTCCTGATTGGAGGCCAGAGTAGACCAGTTATGGTGATCAATATTGTTTCAGGGAGTCCTTGTATCTCCTCTTCGGGGCTCCTCTCATGAGGCAGTCGGTGGCAAGTTCACCATAAAGCAAGATCTTAGGAAGACGGGGGTCTTTCATCCACTGCTTAGTACACTTTTCTTTTTGTAATGATGGCAACTGAGCACAACACATTTGAAAATCTCCCAATTTAATTAGTTTATATTCTCATAATCTTGAATGGTTTAAAAGGCCCTGTTTTGTCATGAAACCTCTTCTATTTTTGCATTTCACCTTGAATTTGATGATTTATCTTGTTGTTAATGAGTTCTGTATTGTACTTATTTACATGATAAATCTCTCTTCACAGATCATTCAACTTCAAGTGGTACCTCCTCGTTTAAGCCCAGCCGATCACTGGTTTCCATTCCCACTGCCCATGTGATGCTGTCTAATGCCAGCTCTTCACTTTCCAAACACAGGGAAGCTTTCAAGTCTGATGGCTCAAAATGGAGCACAAGCTTTGTACGGTCAGGAGGAGGCAGAAATCAGGGTTCACTGGACAACTCCCTTGACATGAAAGATGCAAGACCTGTGAGAAAATGGTCCTCCTTGTCTAAACTCAGCTCACCAAATACCTTCAGCCAAGATGGTAGTAGTCATTCGGTGGAATACAGGGCTGGTACAGACAAAGCTGTGTCACCACAATTAAGGACAAATGGGCCAAGTTGTTTGCATGACAGCATGGAGTTGCTAAAAATTGAGGACAGAGAAATGGGGAAAAAACGATCTTCTCTACTGGACTGCAAATATAAATTTGAAACATGCAGCAAAGATGATTTTGTTTCAGATTCCCCAAGCAGGAGACATGCCTTAGACTTGACCTACAGTGCCTTACCTGAAAGCAAACCTACGGCAGCCAGTTGTGAGGCTTTCGGACAGAGATACGCAACGCTGGGACAGCAGGCTGTGAGTGGAGCTCCCATACAGCCGGCAGTGAGGACTCAAATGTGGCTTAAGGAGCAGCTCCGTGCAAATCCCCTGGACTGCAGGCCTGCCGAGGAGCCCTACGGTGTAGCTGCATGGCATGTGCAGCAGCCTGAAGATTTTAGAATAGGAGGTGAACAGCCTGTGCAGGTAAGGCTAAAGTTTGGTGTTTGCTGCCATCGTGCGGCATCGTGTGTTATATCTGGCAGTTTGTAATGAAACAGGATGGGGAACAGGTCCCCTTAATCAGGTAATGATGGTTTTAAACTTTGACTGGGGATGTTGCTGCTTGTTTCTCAATATTACCTGAGTGCCAACAGTTCTTTGTTGTTTTGTTTGGTTTTTTCTCCTGCTATCTGCTTACAGTTTACTCTGATTCATTGAGCCTGTCTGCATGGGACCAGCATTTCTTCACATGAAGCTGCACACAGCAAGAGCTTCAGCAGATAACCTTTTCAATAGTTTTAGAGAGTCTTTGATCACAGTGTAGTGGGGGAAATGTGAATGTATTTTGACCTGAATGGGCTTAAAAAGAGGCTGCATTTGTGCATTCAGCAAAATAAGAATTACTTCTGTGTACTGCAAGGATGAATGGATATTTCGTATAACTACACCCAACACTTAAAAACTGGATTCAATTTGATATTACTGCTTATCTTTTAACTAATTAAAATCAACAGTAGTCAATGAATCTGGTTTATTTAATAAAATAACATGTGGTTTATATGTGTCATACTTAAAATATTTTCCTATAGAGAACATCAAGCACATAGTTTTAAGAGACAGGTAACCCTTTGTAGCATGGCAATTCAATTTTTGTTTCCAGCTTTTCCCCTAATGTGAAAATACAGTTTATGAAAGAGGGCAGTATTTAAAATCTACGTGTTCCTGTTTACCTGTGTAGGTAAACTTGGCTTGGCTTGCCAAAAAAATCCCAAGCAATTTACAATATGTAAATTTCTCTGAAAGGCATTCTAGGGTTAGACTAGGATATTATCTGAGGAGAGATAATCCAGCTGTATGTGCAAATTACCTGTTTTCCTCCAGCCTGAAGTACATGAAATAATTTACAAAGAGTTGTGCTCAAATTTTGTTGTTTCTTCTGTTGTATATTGAAGGAAAGACTGACAGGTTTAGAGGTTCTTGGGATCCAATTTTGCTCTTAATGGTGATCTTAATGGTTGGGTTTTTTTTGGTGGGATGGTGGGTTTTTGTTGTATTGGGTGTTTTTTGGAGTTTTTTAAATAAAAAAAAAATGAAACCAAATTAATATGGCCAAACCAACAGTAATCTTTAAGGGTCTCCCTAAAAACCAGACATTGCTACAGCTGGCCAACCTTTACCTTTATTGCTACAGAAACCCTCATCTTTCTCTTAAGGTTTTTGAAGATTTTGATGTTGAGAAATTCCCCAGGTAGGGAGCAGAGGCTGATGGAGTCCTGTCAGAGCCAAAGTGACAGAAACTGGGTCACTGCTGAGGCTGGATCCAGGGCACTGCCAGCTGGGCTCTTGGCAGTTGACAGCTGCTGGTGGCATCGAGGAACACATGAGGGGTTTGGGAAGCAGAAGCGACAGCAGGTTACGACTAAGGAGCTTGGTCTATCCATTCATTCAAGTCTTCCCAAACACCTGAAACACATGTAGCTGGCTGCAGCCATCAGAGGTGCTGTCTGTGAGGTTTGTGAGCAGATTACTGTGCCTGGTGGTTCTCCTCTTGGATTTTAGTATATAGAATCATAGAATGTTAAGGGTTGGAAGGGACCTTTAAAGATCATCTAGTCCCACTACCCCCTGCCATGGGCAGGGACACCTCCCAATAGACCAAGTTGCTCAAGGCCTTATCCAACTTGACGTTGAACACTGCCAGGAGTGGGGCATCCACAGCCTCCCTGAGCAACTTGTTCCTGTGTCTCACCACCCTCACAGTAAAGATTTTCTTCTGAATATCCGGACTAAATTTCCCCTCCTTCAATTTGCACTCATTACTTCTTGTCCTATCACTACAGTTCCTGACAAAGAGTCCCTTTCCAGCTTCTCTGTAGGCCCCCTTCAAATACCTGAAAGTTGCCATGAGGTCTCCACACAACCTTCTTTTCTCTGGGCTGAACAGTCCCAACTTTCTCAGCCTGTCTCCATAGTGGAGGTGTTCCAGTCCTCTTACCAGCATTGTGACCCTCCTCTGGGCTTGATCCAACAGTTCCATGTCCTCTTTATGTTGGGGACACCAGAACTGTGCACAGTATTCCAGGTGGGGTCTTACAAGAGCAGAGTAAGCTTTATTTACTTCTTTCCTTCATTTAGGTGTGTCTCTTCATCGTATTTTATGTACCTTTTACACAACATTTTGTTTTTTTCTTTTTCTTGCACCTGTTACTTTTACATCTCCGTGGAGGAGGTTCCTGATGGCCTTAACAAGTACTTCCGTTGGTATGATCTGGAGTCAAGTTGATGGGCCTTGAAATGTGATCTGTTTTATTTCCTCAAGTAAGATGTGGTTGTGAAATAGGACCCAGAGGAACAGAAAGTGAAAACATGTGCAAGAGCAATGAGCCTCTGGGCTCTTAGAGGCATCCCCTGCTGGCCCTCCCTGCCTACTCTGTCTTTCTGACAGAGGTTACAGCTGTGAGAAGGAGGGACACCACAGAAGATGAATAAAGGAGAGTGGTTCTTCCTGTCTTGACACCTGATTTTTAAAGAAACCTCAGCATAATTGTGCTATGGGCTTTTCTCAGAGATCACCATGTGTGCATCTGGGAACTGATACTTTATTATATCTGAGAAACCAAGAAAACTGCAATCCTATGTGGAATATATCCGAGAGAGAGAGTAGGAAGCGTAAGATTTTGCTTGAGGAAGCTGATGATTTATAAAAGGGGAAAAAGCCACACCTCTAGAGGAACTTTTTTATTTTTCTTTTCCTCTTAGTGGGGATTGCTTTTGTTGTTTTGTTTTTATTACATATATAAGCTGGTGGAAATGTAGTGGTTTTTATAGGACTGAAAAAAAATTACGATTTATCATTCTTTCATTTTAACACTACTATTGCCATGAACAGAAAAGAATGAACTTTGCTTTCAACTGTCAATCTGGAGCAGCTTTGTGTATCTTTAAGATAGGTTTATAGCTGCCCTCTATAAACTCCCCTTCTATCACTGATGAAGTAAAAATAGACAGCAACAATTTTCTGAGTTGATTTTGAGGACTGATGGTCCAGGAACGGATGGGGGACTTCATAACACAGCTTACAAATAAATTTTTGTGCCCTCACAGACTCGTATAGACAGTTTACCGTGGAAAACTCTGAATTAGAATTAATTTTTATAAAATCAGACAAGCTTTGAATTCGTTTATTGTAAAGGTAAATGCAAAGTATAATTAACAGCTCTCAGAAGCTGTTCCAAGATTAATTAAATTCAAGTTTAAGATTCTCTCCTTCTTAGTAGTCTGAAGTAGACTGAACTCAGTGGTTTTTCTTACACTTTGCTCCCCAAATTAAGAAGCCTATAATGTGGCTTTTCCATTCCAATTGTAAACCATGGATTTTAAAATGAAATTTCCTGTGCATTTGTCTAGCATTGTAAGAGAAGCTCAGGAGTGTTGGGTAGAAGACCTGCAGCTACATTGAGATTCTCTTTGAGGACGTGGTCAGGTTTGCAATTGCAGAAAAGGTGCAGGATCAACAAAAACCTCTTCAGAGAAGATGCATCATTCAGTTGTGGGTGTGATGCATTTAAGAAATGTGTACATTTAAGAAATAAATATCCAAGGAGGATCTGGTCTTTGGTTATTGTGTAACATCATGTAGTTGCATATGAAAATTAATTTTTCTAGCTAATGTGAGTTATTTAATGTAGGCTTTTTGAAGATAAACATTCTCCTACACATTTCCAAGGAACTGATTTTAACAGTTCTTCAGTTTATGCACTGAAGCACAGAAACAGTGCTTCAAAGAAAACACTTTCCATGCAGAATTTGTATTTCAGCATACATTTTAATTGTTTTCAATGGGCAGCCAATCTTTCAGTAAGGAAGTGTGTGATAAGACCTATACTAAGGGAAAAAATGCTTGTAATACACAACAGTGGTTCCTATTTACTGAACTAGGAGACCATACAAATCTAGATTGAAAGGTTCTATGTTTTCATTTAAAGGCACTTCTTTCAGTCTGATACTATTATATATCCTATAATCTGAATGCATCTAGATACATGCTGTATGCTAGTCCAGAAATTAGATTTGAAGTGAAAGCATGCCTTTAAAATTGTTGAAGATAATACAATGCCAAGGTATCAGAAGGTTGCATATCTACTGATTAACTGTGTACAGTGTTGCAAGTATCACTGGATGAATCTCTTTTTTCCAGTGTACAGAACATCTGTGATTTCTTGATGGTGTGCTAACGCGTGTCAGAATATAGCAGAGATAATAGATGGAAATTGCTTAAGTGCATCTTTTCCCTTTAATGTACCAGGTTTATTGTTGTGGTTTTTTTTTTTTTTAATGAGGAAAATGCTGGATTTATCATACCATGCATATAAAAGTTACTGGAAACTAAATTTTAATGCATTGAGAAATTTAGAGGTATTATAACAACTTTCATTGCAAAACAGAGAAGGAAAAAACTAAACTGCATGCATACCTAAACATCGGTAAACAAAGCTGTTCTAATTGAATGAAAAGGTTATGACATTCTTCAAATAACATTGTTGCCACATAAAACTTTATTCTTAAATGTCAACTCAAAGCTAGTTCTTTTTACAATCCTGGCAGATCAGAAAACTAAAAATTATTAATATCAACATTTTCCTTGCATCGTGTTTTGATGAAATCGTACTTTTCAGGCAGGTAAAACTTTTTAATATGAGGAATTATCACTTTTAGTTATCATAGTGAGCTCCTTCTCTGTGAGCCGTAATTAAGTTTTTATGGTCTGTTCCATTTGCTGTGAAGGTGGTAGCCCAACAAATGGGATTCCATTCTTTATAGTCCATATGTGAGTTCAATGTGGAATAAGCACTAGCAGACGATAGGAAACAAAACTTGGACTGTGCTTGATTGCAAAAAAGAGACTTGGCATTGGTTAGCTGATGACTTTGCCAACTTTATGTGTCATCTCAGTAAAATACATGTTTCAATGTCAGCAGTGTGTT